TGTAAGAACTTACCAGGGCATAGAAAGTATTGTGGGCATAGTGAGATTTCCAGTTGGCCTATGAAACTGATAAAAGAAGATCCCAAACATTCACTGTGAGCTTGTCTCTCCATCCTCCTGCCCGAATCCCAGCTTCAGGTGGTTGTATCTACATGGCAAGGTCTTATTCTCACAACTGCTCTTACTACATGGATCCATTGTACCAATTTCTTATTCTCACAACTGCTCTAACTACATGGATCTATTGTACGAATTTTTTTTAGGCAATACAAATTTAAAAATAAATGTCAATACTCCAAACATGTTGAGACTAAAAAATTTGACCAAAATGGTGTAAGAGTTGGAATGAAATATTTAAGAACAGAGTTTAGGAGCAAGCCTTTCTTTTGTTTGTTTGTTTGAAAAATGTAGTAGTAGCTGAACTTTTCCAGCTTAAGTTAATATTGGTCAGCTAGTTAATCCCTTATTAGACAGAGTTCAGACTCTATAGTTAAATCTAATAATTATTATTATTATGATCTACAGTATTTACCCATGATTAATAATATTCTGCTCACACATTAATATGTGAATATTTAGAAAGTATATCTTCTGTGTGAAATGTTCACAATCATTGAAAATAATTGTTTGCTGTCAGAAAGACTAGAGAAGATAAATAATCTTTAAATGCTGATAATCCAATTCTCTAAGCCAATCTTCGCCTTCACTATACCCAAGAATGCTTATGCAATTTTCTTGCTAAGAAACCAGGTAATTTCAGAACTTTGGCATGCATAGGATTCTCCAAGAGGGCTGCTTAAAATGCAAACTCTCTACCCATAAGACTCCCATTTAGTATCTCTGAGAACAAGGAGCCCAAGACTATTTTAAATCATCATCCCAATGGATTCTGATTCACTAGGTTAAGGCCTAGTCATGGATTTATTTTTTCACTGCCTATTTATTCTAGTCATAATTTTGGAAGACAATCAATTCATAAGTGTTCCAAAATTACAGTCAGAAAATTATGGAGAAAATTAATATGGGATGTGTATAAAAGGAGTAGGAAAAGAAGAGTCTGGGACAATTAATTGTTCCTTCTTAAAGAGCATGGGACTTGCATAATTTAAAAAAGAATGAAACTCTTTTCAGAGAGAGTTTTGCTTTTATTTTTTGCTCCAAAAACTTAGCTTTATTTGGGGCTGAGAAAGAGTATTTTGCCCACCAAAAGATTACAAAGAATTGGGAGAGACAATCAAGTAAATAATTGTATAATATATAAGAAAACAGTATTTGAAAAAGGAGATTTACAATACACATGTGTTGAATAAAATGAACAAATGCCTTAACTAATGAATAACTATAGTAGCTTACGGGAAGAAATATATTTTTACAGATATTAGAATTTTCCATTTGATAAAGCTGTGTTAATACTAACTCTGGGATCCATTCTGTGAAACTATATTAAAGGTGACAACACATCTATTTTAAGTTTTTAGCTAGTAGTCCTTTTATACTAAGTAGCAGAAACTCCAATTAAGAGTCACTAGCATTGGGGTACCTGGGTGGCTCAGTCAGTTAAGCGTCCGACTTAGGCTCAGGTCATGATCTCGTGGTCCGTGAGTTCGAGCCCTGCGTTGGGCTCTGTGCTGACAGCTCAGAGCCTGGAGCCTGCTTTGGATTCTGTGTCTCACTCTCTCTCTGACCCTCCCCCCATTCATGCTCTGTCTCTCTGTGTCTCAAAAATAAATAAATGTTAAAAAAAATTTTAAGAGTCATTAGCATATGCACACATTGAAAAAAAAGACAAACATAGACCACAGATTTACAAAAGTGAGAAGACCAAGAGTAGGTTTTTTTTTTACTTTTAGGTACAGCTGGATTCAGGTGCGAGCACAAAAGTTGCTTTTTTTTGGGGGGGGGTTTCTTTTCTTTTCTTTTTCTTTTTTCAAAATTCCAGCTCTCCTATCTCTCTACTCTACTTTTCTTTGCCACTCCATTCTCAAGCAAGCTAGCCTCCCTTTTCTTGGTGACAAAAAGGCTGCCATTAGCACCAGGTTTATAACTATCCTACTAATACTTTTAGCAATAGAAAGAAAACAAAGCACTTCTATTCTGATAGCTCAACAAACTTCCCTCCAAATGAGCTCTGATTGGACCTGATTAACATGATACAGGCCACACTTCCATCGCTGAACCCATCACTGTGGCCAAGCACACGGGCTTAGGCCTGAGACACAACTACCCCTAGAATCAGAACGTGGCTAGCCACATTTGAACAACATGAACTGAGAAAGGAGGAGGAATGTTAGTTCTCAAAGAAAACTTAAGGTAAGATTCACTATATACAAGTCTACTACAGATACTGTCAAACCAAAACCCCACTGAACTAAGAGAAATGGACTTTATAGAAAAACTCATGTAAGAGAGTAAGTGCATTCTTTATGGCATTCCTGGGTCAGAGGCATGTATAAATACCTTTGTAATTAAAAAAGAAGACAATAGTGACAAAATACTTTTCAAATGTTAAGAACATTCAGTTTGGGATGGTTCTTTGCAATCCTACATTGAGACAGGATAAAGGTTCATACAATTTTAGACCCAGAAGGACCTTAAAGACTACGTAGTCTCATTAACCGCATTGCAGATGAAACAAGAGAAAATTTCATCATTTGGTTCCTTTCTACATGTCCATTTCTATCGCTCACCATTTATTTATTTATTTATTTATTTATTTATTTTTTAACTATCTAACCCTCAACTGTCCAATGCAGTGGCCATGTCACTGCAGAGCACTTGAAATGTGGCTAGTTTGGATTGGGGTATGGTCTAAGAAGAAAATACACAGAGAATTTCAAAGACTTAGTATGAAAAGGTCATGTAAATTCTCTCAGTATTTTATAGATTACACACGGAAATGATAATATCTGGGATATATTGGGCTAAATAAGATACATGAATTAATTTCACCTATTTTTTTTACTTGTTTAATGTTACTAGATAATTTGAAATTATATATGTCGTGTTTGCCCACATGACTCATATTTGTGGCTCATGTTAGGTGAGCACTGTTCTCTCCACAACTGCCTTTGAGTAGCTAGCACGTGCCGTACTCTTTCTAATCTCATGGTTACTGCACATATTGTTACCGCTGCCTGGAACACTCCTCCTCAGGTTCTGGCCTAAGGCATCCTCTTAGGAAGACTTTCCCTGACAGTTCTGTGCCCTTGTACCTGTTCTCGCAGCTCATTGCCATCACTGTGTTGTTACCATTTGCTTAACTGTCTACCTGCCAAGTCCCTTGAGATCAGGCACCAGGTCTTCCTTGCTCATGGCTGTTTCCTGAACTCTGGGCCTGGCGCACTGTAAGCGCTTGGTAAGTGGTTACTGAACTGCTGGAGAAGGGAGGTTAAGTTACTGTCTTAGTTGTCCAAGAAACGTGTCCCCCCTCTCCTCCAGGAATAAGAAGTGCATCCCGCACAAATCTTCTGGAACTCAAGATCGTTTTCTTCACTCCTAAATGGAAGAACTGGTTCATTTGTATTTTTTTTTCCTCGAAGGTGACACAATAGAGGGGTTTTGTCATCAGAGAATCGAGACGCTCCTTTGAGGCAATCGCAGTAGCAGGCTGCACAGCTAATAGATACTTCAATCAAATGGCTTGTGATCTAAGCAGCAAGACAAGCAGCTATCATAACATTTAAAACACACCCTATATTTACTTTCCAGCGTTTTAATTATAAAATCAATGGAGTGTTAATGATTTAAGCATTAGCTTGCTCACTGGGAATTCCCAAACTCCTCTTTTTGAGGCGTAAATTTCTAAGTTGCTCAATTTACCCAATTTATCAGAACAGTTTCCATTAGAAAATATGAATATTTAATGAGAAGAAAACGGGCACAAGCCACTTCCCTTAAGCATCTAACGACTTACCAGAATAAATGAAATATATTAATGAAATACCTCATTTACTATTTCCATCATGAAACAATCATCTGCAGATGTCTCTAAACATTGTGCCTTGCTTTACACCAGAGCTGGATTTTTGTTGTGTCTATTTGGTTGCAGATTTTTGCTTGTTTATTGGGCAATCAAGGGACATCAGCAAAGTAAAAGGGTGTATCCCTAGATGTGAACCACTGCAAAAATATTTTAAAGTTTTCTCAAACCTCAGTCACACTGTTTATTCATACCTGACCCAGTGTGAATGAAATAAATGAGATATGTGTGTGTGTATGTAAGAGGCTGGTTCATACATCACTGTGTGCCCTGAATTTTGTAGCTTGAAAAGTGACTTCACACGCTTTATCACATTGTCCTTCAGTGAAAGTTATCATTATTTCCAGTTTACAGAGGAATCAACCCAGGATTGGAGAAGTAACATGCTTGCCCCAGTACCAGGACCAAAACTTGGTGCAAGAGTTAAAATTTTCTCTCTTTGCTCTTCCCCAAACCTTCCTGATATATGAGCATCTTAAAAAGAATTTGCTTTCACAAAATTTCTAGTTGCCATCTTGATTTTATTATTTGCCTCTTTTTCATTCAACCCAGAGTGCTTGGCAAATAGTAAGTACTCATTAAATGTTAGGTATATTATTATTCTTTCTTTTAAAGTGAATTACTACATAGAAATCAGAATTCTTTAAAAGCTGGATTCTGTTGCACTAAGATTTCACTGTATTACTGTCTTTTTAAGACATGTAACTAGACTTTATCCCATGGCTCCAAATTTGTATAGTCTGTCTCTCTATGGTTCTATGATGCTCTAAGGCAAAAGGCAAATTCTTCTAGTAATGTCAATAGCAGAGGTCCTTTAGAATTTTCCTAATTTAAAGCCCTAATTGTCTCACTAAAGCCACTCTAATGGTGTCAATTAGTACTAATTCTTCTTTCTGGGCCAGTGGGATGGTAAATTTCATGCTCTTTGGTTTCAAGTGATGTTAGTTTGTCTATTTTCACCAGCTTTTTTCATCTTTCTAATTTTTTTCACTTTCAATTTTTAACTCTTCTCTTTCCACAGAAGAGCACTTAAAACCTACTTTCACAATCCTCTAAGAATTTCCTTGATCCCCAATTCCTGACAACGTCATCAGAACTGAAGAGAGGCCCTGAAACAGCATTTTCCATCCACAGAAAAGACCACCTAATTTTTTTTTTCATTTTGCCTAAAAACACTGTGCGTTTTTTTTTTTTTTTTCATGTAGATAAATGGATCCTAATCATGGTACTCTAACAGCAGCATTTGATCTTCTGGTTCAGGTTAGATGTACATTCACCCTGTAGCCAGTCTGGTTTAACCAAAAAGGAACAAGATTCTCCAAGTGGAAGCCAAGCAGAGAAATCAGAGACCAAGAGGGAACACTAAGAGGAATGGGACCAGAAAGCTTTGGTTTTACAAGCTTCTCATTTCTCGGGCACCCGGGTGGCTCAGTCACTTAAGCATCCAGCTCTTGATTTCAGCTCCGGTCATGATCTCATGGTTTTTTAGTTCGCGCCTCGAATCGGGTTCTGTGTTGACTGCATGCAGCCTGCTTGGGATTCTGTCTCCCTCTCTCTGCCCCTCTCCTGCTCTCTCTCTCTCTCTCAAAATACATAAACATTAAAAAAAAGTTAAAGAAAAGAAGCTTCTCATTTTTTCAATGCATGTTAGAGTATCCGATGTGTGGGGAAATAGCACCAGAACAGTCTTCCCTCTCTAGAATTGTAGAGCAAAGGGTTTTAGAAATGAAACTCTGTATTGCCTACTTCGTCACTACTGACAACTGGCTGTAATGGCCTGCTTTTGTTACCACTACTATTAGTTTGTTACAGTCATTTGTTATAGCTACTATTAGTTTGTTACAGCCAGTATTAGTCACTTTATTACAGATAGTTTGGTGCCACATAACTGTACCAGTTAGCTCATTGTTGCCAAATGATACTAATACTTCATTGGCTATTTACAGTAAGTTTATTTCTGGCTCACTAAAATCCAAAACCAGTGTTTGTAATATGCAGGCATTTCTCTTCTAAGGAAATGGAGGTTCTGACATCTGGACTCGTTCCCTCCTGACCAATGCTTCCCACTGTTTGTGGCTAGACCCCAATCACATGGTCATATGTGCAGCAAGGCAGGATGGTATGTAGTCTGCTTATGTGTCCACACACACACACGTGTGCGTGCATAGAGACAAACAGGTTTGGGGAACAGTTAGAAAATTTCTGCTACAAACTTTTCAAACAAACCTTGATTTGAATCCTGGCTCAACTGACTATGTGTTCAGGAACATGCCACTTAAACTCTCTGGTAAGATAAGGATTATGATATTTTTATGTGGTTGGTGTGAGGATAAATGATATAATAATAACACATTTCTAACGTCTCTGAGGTGTGACGTAACATCCCAGCCTTTCCACACTATTTCATAAAATTTTCACAATCTACCTATAAAAGTACATCCTATTATCATGTCTACTTTATAGACTAAGGTTGTGCTAAAGGAAGAAATAGCCAAATGTTCATGCCCCCCCTGTATCCTGCCCTATATAATGTGATTTTATGGTAATTCTAATGAAAAGATGGAATCCCTACCCAATGAATCTGGTTTGGCCTTATGACTTGCTTTAGCCAGTAGAATGTGGCAAGAATGAAACTGCCAGTTCTGAGCCTAGAGTAGCCTAGACTACTAGCAGTTTTAATTTTGTTTTAATTTTTTTCTTGAGAGCCAGCACGAGAGAGAGAGAGACAGAGACAGAGACAGAGACATTCTTAAGCAGAATCCCCACTCAGCCCAGAGCCCAATGTGGGGTTCTACGTGGGGCTTGATCCCACAACCCTGGGACCGTGACCTGAGCTAACATGAAGGTCAGACATTCAACCGAGTGAGCCACCCAGGCGCTCCAACTGTTTGAGAGCCTCACAGCCACCCTGTACGCAAGTCTAGGCTTGCATAGTGGAGCACATGTATAGAAGAGGCTATCCTAGCCTCATCCATGCTCCCAGCTCACTCGACAGCTCCTCACAGATACCTAGGCTAGGCAAAATGAAACCAGCCAACCTGACCCGGCCCACAATAACCACCTAGGCAACCAGGCTTATGAGCTTAATAAATTCTGTATTTGCCTACTTTTGTGTGGATTATTATACAGCATTATTTGTGGTAATAAGTAATTAAGGCAGAAGTTCTGAGAGGCTGTATTATCAGCTTAAGGTCACATAACTAGTAAGCAAGAGAGCCAGGAGTGGAACCATCATGTATGTCCTTATGTACTACAATGTGCTAAGATAATTATCTTGTCAAACTGGTTGAAGTGCTCAACAAATAAAAGCCGTTAATATTGTGCTCTATTATTAAACTCTACAATCCAGGGCAAACTAGTATTTGCCTCATCAATGTCAGTTGCTCACACCGTTTTCTCCAAAACTAGCAGTACGCCTGACATGCAGTATGTCTTCAGTAAGTATTTATTGGATGAATCACTGGAGGTTGGCTACTCAGATCAATCAGCAATAAGCATGCCCTTGAGGGGCTGAGACTCTGAAAGGGAAGACCAAATGCAGATGTAAATAGTGGTAATATAAGATGCAAACGGTCAAATACCACAGGGAGGGAAGGAATCGGTAGAGTATTCTCGAAATTCAGAAATAGGAGAAATTACTTACTGCAAAGGAGGCAGTAAGTATTTCACTGAGAGGATGATGTCTGATTACTATCTTCACCACGAAGACTTTGAATATACGAAGATTATAAGCGTGGAGCATTCCAAGCATGGGGATATCAAGAACAACGCATGGAGACAAGAAACTGGGGGGTGGGAGGGAAGGAGGGTGGGTGATGGGCATTGAGGAGGGTACCTGTTGGGATGAGCACTGGGTGTTGTATGGAAACCAATTTGGCAATAAATTTCGTATTAAAATTAAAAAAAAAGAAACAATGATAGGAACACATGGAAACAGTGAATGGTTTTTTCCATTGGGTGAAAAATAAATTCAGACTACTTTATGAATCAGAATTCATGGGATCAAATCCCTACCTGACAATAGATTCTGACACTTAGCTACATCTGGTTCTAATTCCCATCACTTAATTCATCTCTTCCTTATTCATTCATTGATTCTTACTTTTATTTATTCTTCCTTTCAACATTCTTTATCTAAGAACATAGCTAAGTAGCATTTCCAAAGAAGGGAGAATTATTTTCATCTGCTATTTTAAAATGGAGTGTAAGATTCTGAAAGGCAAAGGCCACTTTTACTCTTCTCTGATTTCTCAGGCACCCATCACAAAACAGTGCTCAAATGTAAGCTGAAGACACAAACATACAAAAACACCAGCGGGCTTTAAATTAATTTAAAGTTGAATACAGGACAACCGACCCTTTGCCCCCATAAGATGCTCAGTTAATGTCCATTATCAGTTACCTCTATACAGCTTAATTATACTTCTCATTAGATAAATCTATATATTAATGGGAATCTTTTATGTCCACTTACTGTGCTGGGCATCAGGCTGAGGAAGTTGTCTAAGATAGGATCCTTGTCCTCACAAGCACAGAGAGGCAAATGCCAGTGACTGTTTCAGGCTCTGAGGATCCTACAGTAAATGAGTCTGGACCTTTTCAGAGAGCTTCCAGCCCAGAAAGGGAATACCTACAAAAAAGAAAAATGCAATTTCAAAAACCTTAATTCCTAAAAGTAACACATGCCACAAGATAATAAAATAATGCCATATAATGGGAAGTGACCAAGTCTAACTTCTTCAAACAGGAGCTTAGGGAAGACTGTCTCAAGAATTTATATTTAAGCGTCATGGGACGATCTGAAGACAAAGTATTCCAGGCAATGTGAGCGGCAAATGCAGAGGCCTTAACTCTGGAATAAACTCAGTTATCCTATGTACTTAACTATTTCAAGTGAAGTAAGTACTTTTTATTTTTTAAATATAATTTATTGCCAAATTGGCTAGCAAACAGTGTATACAGTGTGCTCTTGGTTAGAAAGAGATACTGGCGTACTAACCAGTCAGTGATTCAAGTTCAGAGCTAGCCACACACTCCAGTGAGACAATCTCACTTCAAGCACCTTCAGAGTGAGCATGCACATGTAGAGTGTGAGTCTGCCTGCTCTGTTAACCACAAATTATCCTTGGCTGTCAACCATGAATTGGAGCCCACCTGGCCTGGCTTCCCCTCTAGCTCTATGTCATGCTGTCAAGTTCTTGGCGCCCCTGGATGCCTGTGCTAAAATGGCAATCATGATCATTGCAATCTTTCCGCCCATCCTACCCACCACATGTCTCTCCCTGACCAGAGTCTCCTCAGCACCTCAGGGCCATCAGCCAGCATGCTTTTATCCACAGACGTAAGGTGATGTGTGTTCAGCCTTCTGCTACATCAAATTGTTGGTGGTTATCACCCCAGGAAACAATGTGTTGATCAAGACAAATGAAAAGAATTTCATTTAGGAGTTTTGTATTAAATGCCTACTGAGATCTTAATTGAAATTTTTATGTTATCCACGAAAAATTATCTATAGAGACCTATCTATCTCAGCCCGCAACAAGGACATGGGGACACGTGCTTTACTTGTCAGACTTTTTTTTCCAACTCTCATCCCTCCTCCTTTGTCACCGATCCTGAGTTTATTTATTTATTTCTTTAAAAAAATTTTTTTTAACGTTTATTTATTTTTGAGACAGAGAGACAGAGCATGAATGGGGGAGGGTCAGAGAGAGGGAGACACAGAATCTGAAACAGGCTCCAGGCTCTGAGCTGTCAGCACAAAGCCCGACGCGGGGCTCGAACTCACGGACCGTGAGATCATGACCTGAGCCGAAGTTGGCCACTTAACCGACTGAGCCACCCAGGCGCCCCCCAATCCTGCGTTTAGAGTGCAAGTAAGGCAGTCATGTTCCGATTTGAGTTCCCTAAGTGTTTTTACCTAGCAATTGGTCTAGGTGCCTAGTTAAATCACAGTACCAAAGAGCCAATACTTTCCTAAAGGGGACAGAGCCAAATTAGAAGCAAGAGGATAACATTTTCCCCAGAAACCTCAGATTAGGTGTGCTTTCTACTCATTTCCCTAAGTGGCTGCACTTTTGCTATCAAAACACTTATGACACTTAATTGTTGTAGTTTATTTGAAGATTCATCTTTTCTGTTAGAGTATTAAGCCAGTAAGGATAAAAATTGTACTGATCTTGCTTATCACACTACCCCCAGTGTCTAGCCAGTACTCGGGAAATTTATATTCAAAATTTGTTGAATTAACAAATAAATGACGCAACTCTTCAGAAACACTTTCTCAATCGAACACAAACTCAGGCAAGGACTCTAGTGCTGATAAATTCCTCCCGCCCGTCACAATTTCTGAACGTCACACATCACACCCTGTGCCAAGAACAGTAGCCGCGTCTTGGTACATTTTTCTTTAA